TGTCTTCATAATAGAGGTATAGCACAATGAATTAAAAGAATCATAACCTAATAGTATTAATTCCATCTTTTATGAAACAAATTCTGTGAAACCAAATCTAGCCAACAGTGCTCGGTGCATTGACCTCAAAGATAACATCAAAGACAACAAACAGAACAGTAATGTTTCTATTTATAAAGAATAACATTTAGTAAGTAGCCTAAGACTAATAGTGTTTGAAAAGTCCTGCCAAGATGTGAACAAGATGCATACATATTCAAAGCTTGGGCCACGAAAAAAGAAATAAAAGTACATCTTTACTTCATATCACACAGAAAAGTACAGACTAAAAGGATTAAACAAGAAATACACACACACACCTATTTTGAAAATTTTAAAGAAAATATTTTTAATTCTTTAAAATGTTAAGTTTAAACGTCTGCCTAAGCATGAAAAATTTAGAAATCATAAAAAGAAGGCAGAATGATGTGACTAACTTAAAATGTGGATAATCTACAGAATAAAACATCATGAACAAAGTTAAGTGATAATATATGCATAGAAAGATATACATGACATATTTTAAGTGAAAAAAGCTGTAGAATAGAACAGGGTGTAGACTGTGAGTTCATTTTCTGTTAAAAATGTATGGATAATAAATAGAGGATAAATATTGGAAAGTAAGGAAAACTTGTCCAGATGGGAAGGGGAACAAAGGAGGAGGGAGGAGAGGAGGGAACCAAGGGAAACAAGTTTTGAAAAAAGAGAAAGGAAAAAATGGAAACAAAGCTTTTGTAAATGGAGAGGGGAAGAAGGATTGAAAGAAGGGGAAGGGAATGGGAAAAAAGAATTAAGATATATTGTGTATAGATACAAATTCACTATGATGAATATGATCAATATGCATGGCAAATACGTACTAATAAAAGAAGTATGTATGATATCTATTTGCATTTGTGTATAAATAGATGACATCAGATTGATAATAGCAAGCAACATTTTAAAGATGGGTATAAAGAGGCTATTTTTTATAGTTTACTTCATATGTTGATCTATTTTGACTTTTAATAAGCATGTGCTACTTCCAGACTTTTGTTATGATTTAGATCTGAAATGTACCCCAAACGCCTAGTGTGACCAGAGGTGGGGTTTTTAAAAGATGAAAGGATCCTGGGAGCACTATAGCTGACTTCCTATTAGGAGCTGGGCCCAGGTTGGAAGTGGGTCACTGGGGGCATTACATGGAAGGGCATATTACCCTCCCTGGACTTCCCATCTCTCTATGTGCTTCCTGGCTTCCATGGGATGAGCAGCTGCTTTCTTCCCAGGCCCTTCTCCTGACAGAGGCTGAGATGTGGCAAGTGCTTGCCTAGCATGTGCCAGGCCCTGGGTTTGATCCCCAGCACAGACAGAGAGGGAGGGAGGGAGAGAAGAATGGAAGAAAAGAGAGAAATCAACTGTTCTTAGATGCAAGTTTATTTATGTCCTTACTGAAGATATCACCTAAAGTGGTCAGTTATATTTTGTTGAAAAGTTATGACCAGATGGATAACTCACTCCCTTGTGCTTCCTTTCTGTTTCCCTGCTTCTCTTCCCTTTTCTTCTCACTCATGTTTCCTTATATTGCACATCCCAACAAAGTCTCTCCTGAACAGTCTCTGCTCCAGGTTATGTTTTCTAGTCCTGAGCTAAGAAACCACCCAAATTGTTAATTCTGTTTTTAATAAAATAAGCCCTGTAATATGGTTGTTCAGTGCACCACACTTTAAAAATAGCAAGCATAAATATGGTTTCTGTTTATGGAGATGATTTCACAAATAATGGAAGATTAACAGAATATAAGGATATGCTGTCTCAGAGTATGCTGTCTTTCTAGGAAGATATGTTCAGAATAGGTATTTACTTTGTAATACACATGACTGTATATAACAGAAATTTTTAAAACGAAAATATTATGTGTTTATGAAAAGATAAAAGAAAATATGACTAAGTAGAGGTTCCTCAGCACAACCAAAACTTTAGAAGCCAAAGAGAGAAAATAAATAAGATTTAATCACTTGTACTAACCATTTATAAAGAAAAAAACATGAATAAAGCTAAAGGAATTAAATACCCACCAGGTTCTCCTCCTTTGATGGCTCAACCTCTACCTATGTTGGCGTACCTTCTCTGAGCACTAAATAAACAAGCTTTGATGATAATTTGGTTTCTGGTCTAGACTGACCTTAGGAAGAGAATGTTCTGAGCTGCAAACACTCAAAATCTGGCCTGCTTCATGATTCTAATCTTATGGTAACATAAATTATCATTCCAGTTTTTACTTGCAAAAGAAAATGCCACTCAATTTGTTATATCCTCTGTAAGCTTAGAAACGCTGAATAAATGAGAAGGCTCTGTGCTCAAACAAAGCTGCTTGCATTATACCAGCTCCTTCATTTTCTAAGATGTTAGTGGTCCATAGGACCAGAGTGACACTTAGCCAACTCTCAGTGGGTAATCAAGTTACATTTGCGTGAAGCTGTCAGAATAAAGCTACCACCCCACATAGGGCTTCCTTCCTGAGAAAAAAGACTAAAAGACAGAACTAAGAGAGACAGAAAGTAGGGTCCCAGGATGATCAATTCCGGTACAACACACAAAGGCTCTGGCCAGTCCAAGCCAATGATTTTTATGGGTAATCAATTGGGGGAAAGACGAGCTATGTGCAAGGGCAGGACTACGTGAGAAGATATGCAGTTGTGCGGTTTCTAGGTAAGCAAGCCTCGTAAAGGACAAGACAAAGCATTCTCAAATTAGGAACAGAATAGACAAAATATGTGATTGTAATTAGAACAGTGTCCTTCTAGTTAAGGTTTTAGTTGTGGGAATGGAATTTGGTGCAAATTACTCTGACCTGGCCACATAGGCCTTGACCAGACTTATTTCTCAAAACAAACCAATTGTGCGGTTAACTCTTCACACCCTGCACTGCTTACAGCCTGCTTTGGGCATAATCAGTGTGGTCCCCTGCAGACATATGCTATTCTGAAAAGTAAATCTCCTTTATCCTCCTTATACCACACCCTCAGGCCAGGAATCACACAGCAGTACAGAAACAGGTCTGAGTTAAAGGCAAGGAAGAGCCACACTTTAAACAGAGAAAATCTTCGGGTCAGGATGTTATAAAATTAATGTAAAAAGAATAAATTAGAGCTGAATGTGGGGGCACTCATCTGTAATCCCAGCACTCGTGAGACTGAGGCAGGAAAATTTAGACTGAGGCCAACTCAGGCTATGTAGTGAGCTCAAGGCCACCCTAGACTTCACAGGAGACCCTGTCTCAAAAAAAAGAAAAAAGAACAAATTAGATATCCATTAGCTCTCATTAGAAATAGTCATAATCACTGCTGTAAAAGCCATTCTCAAGTAAACTTAGCAAAACCAAAGAGAAACTTAAACATAAAATTTGCCTGAATCACATCAATTTGCCAAACCTATACTTGCAATTCCTTTTGAAACAAGGAAGTTAAAATATGAATTGAAAAATGAAAAAGAAAATCTGCTTCTTGATCCTTGAAGTATCATGCTCTGGATGATATCTGAAATCTATCACTGTAAAAGTGCCTTTACAAAGGTGTGGTAGAGCACACCTGTAATCCCAGCACTCAGAAGGCTGGGGCGGGAAGATCACCTAGAGTTTGAGGCCAGCCTGGGCTACACAGTGAATTCAAAGCCAGCCTGAACAATATAGCCAGGCCCTGTCTCAAAAAACAAACAAAAAAATTGTCTTTAAACACATTTGGAGTGCAATAGACCCTAAAACTGTTAGGTGACAATAAAACCAAAACAGCAGGACATCCTCTGAGTTTCTGTTATCTTTTCTAAAGAGAAGAACGGACCTGTCACAATCACAGCCACAATCCTAGAATCCTGCCCTTCCCAAAATGATTGAGAGTGACAACCTCCTATGTGAAAATATGGGGACACCTGGTAATTTCTCACATCAGTGTCACCCAGGACTTTCCCAAGAAGCAAATTACTCGGTCTAGATACTACCAGGTCTTAGACATGAAAAGTGCATGCAGGGCACGTAGGGCAGCACCAAGCTAACACTAAATCCTCAGTCTCTGTTCAAGTCAACAAGGCTTCCAAAAACTTCTTGGCATCCTGCCACACCTAGATTCACTTTATGACCACAGTAATGACAATTACTATTTGCATCAAATGCCCACTGGCACAGTGCATGGTGTCATGGAAATTAAATGGTCATGCCACACCAAAAGAGACAGAAGTGCAGAGTCACTGTCAAGGTCTTCCAGAAGGAGGAAACAGAAGTGTGAAAGAAAGAAGAAGAATGGGAAGGAACAAAAGGAGGGAAAAAAGGAGCAGATGGATGCCAGTCAAGTCTGTATGTACCACACTGTGGCTTTCTATTACTACAAGAAACCTCCTTTTAAGGGCCAGTGTAAAACTCATTCTGTACCTTAACTTCAAAAAATATCTTCATTCTGCTTTCCCTCATCCCACCCTTAAAATTGGTATCTAATGAGTTTATAGATAATTTAACAGAGTAACCATATCCAACAACTTTAAGCCGATTGGGCTCTGGTCATCTCATCCTCTGTTAAGAGTACATATATGAAGACATATGAAAACCTGGGGTTAAAACTAGATCATAACCAGATGATTTTACCCTTTTCTGGTCTTACATATAAAGCAGTCAGCTCCACAAAACCAACTTGTTTCCTTGCTTCTATTATTAGGTGAGAGATAATTTTATTGCTTTGAGAAATTATTTTAGCAGTTGCATTACAGGAATGACAGAACTCTACACATCATTTAATAAATGTTCTTTTATTGTTATTAGTATTTATTAAATGACACTGAAACATGGCAGAATGCTCCAGCAAACAAATTCTGAATACTTAAGGGTTCTCATTTGAATATTTTTAAGTATTTTGCATATGTTATCTCATTTAATCCTCCTGATAAGCTTCACTTTCACCACTTCAACCCATCTCACTTTAATCTAATTTTTTCCATTCAGTATCATTTTGAATCAATTACCTCCTTTGTTCCCAATACTTTTATCAAAAATTTCCTAAAATTCAACATTCATTTTAGATAAATAAGAACACAGATGAATAAAAACCAAGTAAGTAAAGTTCACTAATTATCCTTCCACCCAAAGATAGCTATTGTTTCTTTGTATGTACCTCCAGTTTTTAGTCTTTATAAACATGATTTCCTATCCCTCAAAGTGAAATCAAACTACAAACACTGCTATATCTAACTTACCTTTTCCATCTAATGCATGATGAATATACTTTCCTAGCAAAGTAGATTTCCATCAGCATATTTATCATATCCTACTGTGTGAACTTTCCTTTATTTAACCAATACGGTATGATAGACACTTTATTTTTCAATTTTTGGTACCTTAGTGCTGAGGCAAATAGCTTTGTACATACAAACTTTGACCAATTACTCAATTACTCTCTTAGGACACAAGGTTTATGTATGACCAAATCCTACCACCAGGGTTTCAGAGGGTCGGTTTCTCCATCACCTGACACTGTGTAGCAGGAGGGCAAGCAGGACATTTCTAAAGAGCCCATTCATTTTTTAGTCAAAAATATTTGGTGTATCTGAGTATTCAATAAGATAGTATTCAAATATCTTTCCACAACTGGCTTCACCCAGCTTTCTAAATTTATTTACTCCTATTCCACACACTCTCCACTCTAGGAAGACTGTTCGTCCATCATAGGAAGAAGGTTCATACCTCAATAGCTTTCTTACACTATTCCTCCTTCTCATGGAATGCCTTAACCTACCCTACTCCATTCAGGGCTCACTTTCAATGGCTGCTTTCTCCATGAAAGTTTAGTTAACTCTCCTATCCTACAGAGGCCTGTGCCTCCTCTGTGCTCTGAGAGCACACATCTGACAAAGAGTGTATGCTCCAAAAATATTGTCAGTTATCTTTTGGTTTGCATGTTCCTTATCTCTCCAATTAGATTATAAACCAAAGGACAAGGATGATCTCTTTCTTCTTTCTTTTTTTTTCTTTCCAGCATTAACACTCAACTTTATTGGTGATACACAAATGAAATCAATGCAAATGACAGAAGAGAGGTTACTTAGGACTAATTTTTCACTGTCACTTATGCAGAGGAAATAGTAAGAATATTTCAATCTAGGCAGCAAGACAAAAAGCAACAAACATTTTCACAGCAAGTAATGATATTCATCCAGCTTACACCCAAAAACCAACCTAGTTAAATATCAGCATTAACGGTACAATATGACACGCATTACTCAAAATTGGCAGCTGAAAAGATTCCTCCAACATATAAACAAGTTTGAGAAAAGAAATAGTTTACAATGTATGTTGCATCTAAACTATGAAGTCAAGAAGTTACTCCTGGATCTTTGGGAACATATTCTCAGCCAGTTTGGCCATGAATTTTCCAACTTTTACTTTCACCAAAAAATCGTGGTGACTTTCTATTCCCAGAACCTTATCAGCACACACTTGAAATTCTTTTAAAAAGAAAAAGAGAGAACCTTCACCAAATTGATTCTGAGTAGGTTCATTTTCTTCCCATCTGAAATTGTCACTTAGATTCTCAAAAACAACCAGAAGTTTAAGAATAACCTCTTTGTTCTCCTTCTTATTAAAGAGGGAACCCAGTGACAATGGTACTTGGGCCCTGAGCAGTTCTCTAGTCATAGCTGGATTTTCAGCCAAATTCAAAAGGAGTTTCAAAACCTGAAGTTTAGTTTCTTCATTTCCAGCTGAAAATAAGCGGAAAAAGTCTGAAATGGAATTAGCAAGCATGTGCTGATACTCATTAGTAACAGTCATATTTGTAAGCAATCTCAGTCCAGCCAGCTGCACAGATGAGTTCAAGCGAGAAGTGATTGTGTCATCACACACTTGATTCATGTATATCTTAAGCCTGCGCTGATTTTCAGCATTCACACTCAGGTTATTTAGAACAATTAAAGCCTTTTCCTTGACAATAGGATCCCGAGTATTGAGAATCTTTGCAACAATTGGGAGACCACCCAGATCACGAATAATATCTCTGTTAAATGCATAAGCAGCATTGTTACCCAGAGCAATTAAAGCTGCTTCAAGAATATAAGGCTTTTCAGACATCTCAACCAAACAAAGAACTTTTTGTAGTTCTTGAGGGGACAAAATAGTATCATCTGAATTAGGGGAAGCCCTTTTCTGGACAGCCCGACGCGCCCTGGTAGCCCTGGCCCTTGCCCTGGCTCTAGCTCTGGTTCCTGCCTCAGTTCCAATCCGAGCCCAAGGTGGGTACCATACTATGCTCTTGCTATCATTACCATCATCGTCGTCATCAGACCAGTCATTATACCTGGCCCCAGAACAGTCCCCAGCATCATCCACATCCCCAGATCCACCCTCAGCCATTTTCTCCTTGTTATATTTTCTTCCTCGGGTCAATCTATAAATGCAATAGCAGGCACTAGCCCCAATCACTAGGCCTGCAGTCACCCAGCCTACTTTCCTGGCGTAGCCCATGCAATCGTCCCTGACAAGAGCAGGGACAAAGGAATAGAGTAATCACTCAGGGTGGGGAAAGAGGGCTGTTGGCCTGGGGACAGGACTATAGAAGTTGATCTTCAGGCGCTTCCTGGCCACGATAGCTGGTTCTGGAGGTGGACCTAGAAACGAAGGAGAGAAATATGGTTTGAATTTCTCTTCTCTTTGTGTTGCCCTATGCAGAGTTGCACAGGACAGGAAAATAGAAGTTGAATCCTGAGTAAGTATAGATTGTTGACAAAATATCTCCCTCATTTCACCCTCTCCCTACCTCCCATCCCACCTTTACCCTAAGCATAGATAAAGGTAATGGAGTCCACAGATTCTGCTAGAGCCTCAGTCATCACAACCTCTGGTGATGTGACGCTAGAGAGTAGCACCTTGCACTAACCTCCTTGAGACAGGTACTTTGCCTCTCTTCCCTTCCCTGGAAGTGTGCCACGCCCAACAATTTTTCCAATCTGCAGAAAGAGCAGAGTCAGTGAGAACTGAATGCTTGATAGATAGTACATTTGTTGCTTTCCTGAATCACCATCCAGGTTGTCAGATTTTTTTTTTTAGCATCACTATGCCATCTAAAACGTACACATGCCCTAGTCTGAAATAAAGGGACGCAAGGAAAATAAAGTAGGATCACAGGAGTCTATCCAAACCGCGGCTTATTTCCAGCCCCTCCCCCATTCCAGGCAGCCCCCCACGCCCACACTGACCTCCAAAGATCCTGGGAAACTTCCTCCCTCCCTTCAAGCAGTGCCACCTGCTACAGCAGACCTGCAGGATGACAGATCGAAAACATGGGGACTAAGTGCTGTTGAGAGGAGGATTATGAACAAACTATCTGATAGGCTTTCCTGCTGTCATTTCCCCCTCCCCCCTCCCGCGCGAGCACGCTCGCGCGTGTACACACACACACACACACACACACACACGGAGTGCACGCCATTTCGCCACAGTCCGAGGAGTGTAAGAAACACAGACTCAAACTGAACCTAGATTACCTTCTCTAGTTTTCTCTCAACTCCACACACTCCTCTCCTAGGGTCCCCACATGGTCTTACCCTCAAATCAACCTTCACCGATAGGGGTTAATTTCCTTCCTCTTCTCTTGCCTGGCGTTGTGCTGCAACCTACAGAAAGACTGGCCACCCAGGAGAGGCTTGGACCCCCCCAGCCACAGAGCCATGGTCGGAAAGACGGAAAACAGGCGATACGCTACTGAGTGCTTGGTGGACGGACCAGTCCCCAGAGAATGAAACTCTTTTCTAATTCGGAGGCCTTTTTGTCAAAGGTTTCCCACCTCTGTTACCCTCTAGGGTTCTGCTGACACACCGTAATGCCTCCCACCACCCCCGCCCCCATGTCCAGCCTTTCCCCGTCAGAACTGTCCTGGTAGACTGGGGCCCAAAAGCCAAGCCACATCTCCCTTTCCAAATTGAGGGCCTTGGCTCCCAGAAGATTTCCATCTCCGTCTTTCTGGATTCCTCCCCCAAACACCCCCCAACTCACCGTTTTGCAGCATTGAAACGGGCTGCGGGCGGGACAAACGTCTTGGAAAGCGGGCAGCGAGTGGAAGAGTCCACAGAGGCGCTCAGGACCCGCGACGGTCTCCGCCCTACACCCTCCGCCACCCCCACTGTGTGGAATCTCCCAGGCACTGACCTGCGGGGATCCGGGACAATTTCCTTCCCCTCCTTCTTCGCTCGACCACAAGCCCACCCGCCCTCCGGGCAATGGGGAGCTGGTACTCAGATGGAAACAACGACCAGGACAAGCAGGACTTCTGCACACGTCAGCTTTTGGTCACGTGAGATCTACGTCATCCACCAACTCGGGTCCCCAATTTCCCCTCCCACTAGCAGTGCGGCAGAAGAGGGCCCGCCCCACTCCTTTCCCTTCCCCACGCTGGGCCTTGTTACTCATTCTTTATCGCTAATCCCATCTACTTGTAGTTGTTTCCCTTCCTCGGGTTACCAGAAAGGCTAGCATCTTTCCCTGGGGCCACTGCACTGGGGCCCCTTGCACTTTTTTGAAAAATTGACTTTTCCTTTGCTAGTCTCCTGGGACATCAGCCTCTCCTTACACCTCCTCTCTTCCAGTTGTTAATGTCTACCTCCGAAATCCAGTCCCAGATCTGAAATGAACAAGAGGTCAGAAAAGGAAACCTGGAGTGAGCGTTTGGTTTTTACTTTATGAGGACTTTTTTGTCATTTTTGTCCTACCCTCCACCACACCTAGCCTGCATTCTTTTTATGAGGAAAAATACTACAAAGCTATTTTCATTTCAGAAAAATTAAGATGGGAGGTGGGAGAGCATGTTGGATGACAGCTTCTAAAAGTCCCACATTTCTTACTTAGTGGAGAGTGAGTGTTGGCTACTTCACTTAAAGCAATCTTCATATCTTTCGTGGCCTAGCACATAACAAAAGCCTGAAAGAGTTAATCAGCATGTCTGAGAATATGTAAATCTTCTGGCTAGGCCATCTTCTGAATAGAAGAGGGGCAGATTTTCACCTCTGTAAGTTATCTAGGAGCAAGAAATCAACCTTTGGGAGCCAGTAACAAAAGATTGAATAGAAATACATTTGTGTAGTTAATATCTATAAAATAAAAAGGCATGCATACTAACAAAGTGAATGTATACAAAGAGCATTATGAAAGACACTTGGGTACAAATACAGATATCTGTAAATGAAACAGGTGTTAAGGAACACAGAGAGCAACACAAAGTTGCCTGAACTTGGTATTCTATAATATTCAATAATATTCTATACTAGAAGCAATTAGTGTGAAATCATTTCACTGATTTAATGAGCTCAATAATTCACCTGTGATTTAACTTTTTTAAAACAGGGAAAGGAACAATTATTTTATTCCTTTTATTTTATTCTTTCTTATTTAAGTTAACCAGGTTTGGTTTCAGTTATTTAAAATCAAAGGACATTAGCTAATATACAGTACAAAAACAAATAACAAAGAACAAAAAAATCCTATAGCTTTTCAGAACATGGGGTCTTTTGGTGAGTTATTTCCTAATAGTTTGGATGTAAAGTTGTTATCGATACAGCTTTTTAAATCCACAGATAATATGGAAATAAATTCAGAGACTGGGAAGTTTGAGAAGGGGTAAACCAATAATATTCATATGGATTTAACTTCTGGGAGGCAGTACTGGAACATTATTGGAATTTATCAAACAGAAGCCAAATCAACTTTTGATTCTGTTTTAGAAGAGTCAGAGGAAAGTGCCCATAGTTCTCATCCAAGCTCTGTCTGGAGGAAAGGGAGATATTGGCTGAGATGAATGGAACATTTTAGCTTCCCTGGGCAGAATCATCCCCATCTCCTGTGAGTGTTCTTCAAGCTTCTGCAGCTGAAGGCCACTTTTTAAGGTGCATGAATGCCTTTGCTCTGATTTCAGGTTCACCAATAAACTTTGTGAGGTTGTAGCATGTCTATAGGAAGAAAATGGGCAGGTAAGAGTGACCAAAACCTCTAGCACTCCTGACAGTTGTATTTCTCAGGATAAATTATTCAGTTATCACCTCTGTTGAAACTTAACTTCTCCTGTGGTCTAACCAGGAAAGAATACAGAGACACATGGGTTTGGGCATTCTGTTCTAGATTTACATGGCTCTATAATGATGTCTTAAAAACATCTGCTCTTGTTGTACAGGAAATATCAGGGCTAGCAGGGAGGGGGAAGAGGAAGAGAAGTAAAAAGAATTAAGATGTGTTATGTACATGTAGCAAATCCCCACAGTGAATGTAATCAATATGTACTACCAACATATATGAATAAACAACATTTTTTAAAATCAGGGCTATATCATGCAACACTGAAGAAAAAACTCTGAGGTATAAATGCAACTTTGTGGTATTCTACTGGGGAAGCCAGGTGGTTTTTGACTCAAAGAACAACCTTATGCATTGCCTTTTCACATCTTTTTCTAATGTTCAGGTAGTATGGAAAATGCAACTAAGATACGCTGTAACACATAAGCCCCCAGCACGTCAGCCACAGGTGGACAAAATGTTAATAGACAAAATAGTTAAAGAGTTTCTACAAATCAACAACATCTGAAATAATTTACATCTCTCTCTGGGAAAAGAAAGGAAATGCACTTTATATTTTCTATACCTGTGTTTTTTTAGCGAAAGAGTGGACAGTGCACAAAACAGACCAAACAAAGGCTCTCTTACTAAAATATGAATCATGAGCAGAGAGTTAAAAACCTGACTATCAGTAGATTTATGGCATCCTGAAGAGATTCTCTCAGTTCCTCCTAGTTAGACAGCTCAAGCTGACCCCCATCTTTGGTGTTCCCTCCTTTTACCCAGGTTTGGTTCTGTTGCTTGCAATCTGAAAAACTTACAAAACAAATAACACAATACAAAAAGTAATGTAACTTTTCAAGATCACAACCTTCTAAAATTTATTTTTGTCATTCTTCACAATTCCATTAGTGTAACTATCCAGTATTTTCTGGTACTTTGTAGGTCACAAATCACATGTGTCCACCGATTGACTTAAGCCAAAAAGCTTCATTTAGCAATGGTCTCACAGCCTTTTACAGCCTCAGGAACTTTTAACAGGTTTATCTGAAAACTTATTTAAGCATTTTTCTTTTTCAGATGGTATGCCAAGCATATAACATGTCTTTAAATACATATTTGTTTGTGAATGTATAATGTAGAGCAAAGTAGTTTTTAAATGCTATTCTCCAAGTTTCTTCATAAGAATTGGGATCAGAATGACAAAGAGGTAAAAGATTTGCAAAGGTTGTCATGACCAACAGATTTAGGAATGTTTAGAGGAGTGGATTCAAACCAGGAGGTCTGGTAGATTGGGAGAATGGTGGTACTGAATTATACACTAGATAATTGATATATGAATTGATATATATATATAGGATATATGAAAGAGGGTAAATATTTTACTCTGGTAAGGGAGGCAGAAATGAAGATTTTTGTCTTTGAAGCTTGGCTAAATTTTGTAAAAATTAGTCCATGTTGTAGAATTCTGTGTAGGACACCAAGGCATTTGTCTTTGTTAAGCTTTACATATTCCTTAATTCTTTCTAACATATATGTTCAAAACAAAAAAATCACTTATATATTTACCAAGTGCCAAAAAAAGAATGATTAGCAGATGAACCTAAGTGTTCCGTTAGTAAGGCATCAGAAATAAAATTCATTTGTCTAAGAGAAGTAAATAGTGTCATGAAAAGAATAGTAAAGGAGGATAATGGCAAAAACAAATGAGGTAGAGATTTAGAGAGATGGAGTATATTAGTGCATGAGTTTGGACTAGAAAAGTTACAACACGTTCTTGACTTCTAATATTTGCCAGGAAGATATTAAGGGCTCTCTGGCTCTCCTCCAGAAAGGGCCTCCTCCGCCGGGGCCCCTGGCAGGGAGCACCTCCAGCCTGCCTAGGTGTCATATTTCAACATTCTCAGAAAGAGGCCGCCTGAACAGTCTATATTTAGAGTATGACTCCCAAGCCAGGACAAGTGGGTGTCTGGGGGCTAACCTCTGCATACTTATCCCTTAGTTTGGGAATTAATTGTTCTGAGGGACTTGTGTTGGTAATGGAGTTAAGTTGTAAGGGAAACAGAGAGTCAAAGTCTTCTTTCTCTTGGTGATCACTTGAGATCCTGCACCTTGTCCTCCCACTTGTGAGAGGAAAAAGGTAAGGACATCCGAAGTTGTTGCAGCAACTCACAGTCATCTACAGATCCTCACTGCCATTCCCATTGGAAAATGTGAACTCTGATCATTGGTATGGTAACAGATTACACAGGAATGGTAGATACTGAAGAGTTCTTACCAGTGCCATGATGGATGAAAAATTCCCTTTATTAACAGAGAATTCTCTAATTTCTGGATAGTTTACAGATTGCATCCTGAAATATGAGAATAGATTTTTAAATGAAACCCTCAAATGAAAGGCAAACTAATATGTGAAGTTAGTAATTTTGTAAAGATCATCTGAAGTTGTAAGATTCATCTGAAGATACAGTCTACAAGAAGTCCTTCCTTTGAAGCCAGAATGAAAACCATCCAGCAGCCTTCTACAAAATTTCAGTTGTATAACAGTTAATACTATGAGTTCAGCCAGAAAGATGAAAGAGACGGTAGTTTTTGTATTCATCTAAAATGGTCACAATTAGAACACTAACCTTCTCATGCAGATTCATTTATCCATTAATTTATAAATCATATTGAGAACACACGGATTTTGTTTGTAAAGATATGTTTTAAACTTTAATATGCTCTTTTAAAGCTGCTAATAAGAGAAAAATATTTTCAATGTGGTACAAATTAACTTTGCCAACCCTGTTAATCGGAAAATCTTACTCATGATACATTTTTAAAATAAGACTGACATTTTTTTTTCTCCAAGTGGAAATAGTTTTATTGTATTTTATGATTGCAAAATACTGTGTGTAACTTAAGTCAGTAAAAAAGCTGGGATGAAACAGAACCTAAACGGGTCAAAAATATCAGAAAAAAATCTACCTGGGCTTCCTTTTCTGCTCCCCCTCCTCCAAATTTGGTGCCTAGACTGAAAATGAAAAACGGGTAGAAATTAAGGAAGAAGATTCCGAAGTTTCAAGCCAAGGAAAGGATGACACAATTCTCCAAGAAGTGTAAGTGCAGGGTAGACCTAGGAAAAGATGCTAGCCCTTCCTGTAATTAGAGAAAGTCAAATTCAGCACCAGAGAGATATGGTCACTTCTGGTTTCTGGTGTTCTTACAGAGGAAAAGACGGACAGGGCGCAGTGAAAGTGGGGGAGGTAGAGGGCAGGCTGGCGCCTGCCGCACTGCTTATGGGAGTGGAAATTGGGGGCCAGAGCTGACCGGTGACGTGGATGTCACGTGATCAGGAGCCTCCTAGAGTAGAAGTCACGCTAGTCGCCTCTGTCTGGGTGCCAGCCCCCTATTACTCTGCAGGCAAGTGAAGGAAGAAGAAAACTAGCTCGGATCACAGAGGTCGGTGCGAGGGTAGGAGCTGCTTTGAAAGAAGTGAGGGTGGGAGAGAGCCAAGAGCGCCGCGAGTCCAAGTTCAGGCAGATTGGGACTGTATTCTTTTCTCCTCGACTTTTTAAATACCTTCCCCCACCACACCCCCACTCCCACCTTCACCCCCCACTCCACTCCTTCATTTTACTGGAAAGGAGTGACGGGCTTCTGGTGGGGGTGAGGAGAGTGAATGGCAGTTACAGAGAATCTAGGCACCGTGTCCTGGGTGCTGGTCAGTCCACCAAGCACCCCCTCCCCTCGGTCTCCTGTCTGTTGCAGATCTGTAGATCGCGGCGCAGATCTGTAGATCGCGGCACAGATCTCGGCGAGAGAAGGAGCAAACTGCTTTGGTTGGAGCCGTGGAGGGACATGTGAAGGTAGGATTAGCCCGGAACCGTAGGCAAGGGTGGCAAAGAGGAGACCTGGGATCTGTGCGGGACAAGTCCAAGTAGCACTCTCCAGGCCCCTTCTTACTCCACACCCCCTCCCATTTCAGTTCAGGGAAAGGGGTGTGGCAGCCTTTGCTGGGAAAATGGCGGACCAAGGGGGGTGGGGGACGCTCTTATTAGAAAAGTACAGAGGGTGTGAGAAATACTTTAAACCCAAAGGCCTAAAATTCAGGAAAGCAGATTTGGGGATCTTTGTGATCAGTGAGGACCCATCCCACTGTACTTTCAGTTCTCCATTGCCACCTGCCTCTCTTTCTATTTGTTCTTCTGCCAGACGGTCCGTCTATCACTGTAGAAGGAACAGTGACGACAGAAACAAGGGAAGAAGAAGAAATTCACCTGACTTTATTAAAGGTTGGTCAGAGAATTTTTATATGACTTTTGGAGGGTAGAGATATGTGTAGGGAAGGAAAAAAATCTGCTTGAAGGTTAAATCTCTCTGTCACAGCCTGACTATCATATAGAGCACAGGCCTATCTCTTGCCCTTCTGTGAGGGTCCTGGAAGACAAATGATAGATCCTGAGGTAGATAGGGGAGACAGAAAAGAACAAGAAAATAGTTTCCTAATAATCCAAATTTTTCAACCAGAAGTCAAACTTCACTCTGTCTCTTAAGGCAGAAGCCCTTGGCATAATCCAAATTCCTTAATACTCTTTCACACCCACAGATTCATTACAAGAACTACAGAAATATAGGAAAGGCAAAAGACTACTACTCTGCACCGTTCATCCTGGCACTAAGAGACCTCTTCAATCAGGTGGAACAAGGCACTCTCCCAACCTGCCCCAAGACTGGCAAAGATTTAAGCATGGGCCGGGCCCGGGAAGTGGGTTGGATGGCAGCAGGACTGATGATTGGGGCTGGTGCCTGCTACTGTGTTTACAAACTGACCATAGGAAAGGATGACGGTGACAAGTCTGAGGAGGAAGGAGATGAATGGGGGGATGACCAGGACCTAGATGAGGAGGAGTCCAAAATTTGGTTTGATTTCACAACCATGGTGCGACCCTGGAATAAGGATGAGGATTGGACAAAACCTGGGGTCCCAGGTGGCAATGAGGACAGGCCATCAGGGGGAGGAAAGGCTAAGACAGCACACCCAATAAAACAGCGGCCATTCCCATATGAACATAAAAATACATGGAGTGCTCAAAGCTTTAAAAATATCAGTTGTATTCTTGAGTTCTCCAAGTGTCCTCCCATTCAGGGAAAATTGATGTTTGCAGAGCCCAAGGATGCTGTTTTCTCACTTAGCCACAATGCCAATAGACATTTAGCCAGCCCATCAATCACTGGAGATGCAATCCTCACTCCCCACCCCACTGTCAGGGAGGAGGCTTTGTGTGCCCCAGATAACTTGAAGGGGAGTAGTGAAAATCAGGGCCAGATTAAGATGTACGCCGATGAGGTGTGTCGGGAAACTGTGCCACATTGCTGCAACTCATTTCTGCAGCAGGCTGGATTAAATTTGTTAATGAGCATGACAGTTATTAATAACATGCTTGCCAAATCCGTTTCAGACTTGAAGTTTCCTTTGATATCCGAGGGAAGTGGATGTGCTAAGGTTCAGGTTTTGGAACTGCTGATGGTTTTGTCTGAAAAGCCAGTCTTGGCGGGGGAGTTGCTGGGTACCCAAATGCTATTCCCCTTTGTGATAAACAAGTGGAAATAGAGATATTCTCCTGGAAACGCTCGCCCCTTAAGTGGCCATGTGGAGCAGAATGGGACTGAATCTCCCCCAAACACGGTTTGGTTTGCAGATGTCATAGAATCTGCACTGGGTGCTACTGAGGATTCGGGCTTGGCCAGTCATCAGTCTCTGGGTGAAAGTTCCAGTCACTAAATCAAGGACTACACTCTCATTGGCCAGGCAGGGGCCCCCACAGAGCTCTGGGTAACGAATTGGTTTTGCAGTCTGTAGGCAAAGTGCACTGTAAATTACTCCCTTGCAGCCTTCCTCAGGCTGTAGAGGGATCACTGTAGCCTGCCAGCTGTGGCTAAAGGACATCAAATTACAGCATCACGAGTGCTATTGTTGCCTCTGGTGGTCTCCCTGTCTAAGCAGGACCACTTCTGAGAGACCACATCCATACAGGAAGCTTGTGCTGAAAATGCATTTGCTGCTGCTTAGGTGGAAGTAATTTTTCCTTTACTCTTTCTTCTAACACCAGCTGATGGATGGCAAATGAATCTGTTCATCCAGAAAGTGCACTCCCCTTCTGTCCATACTACTGACTTAACCTCATCCCCAAAGTCTGCATCTGTGTGTATCGTCAATAAACTTGTGTGCTTTGATCGGCCAAACGAAGACATGGTCCTTGTCGTTGAGTTTACAGTCTGCACAAAGAGAAAGACAAAGAATGCACAATGAACGCCAGCTGACTGGGGTGTCTGCTCCCCAGCAGATGGATGCTTATCAGTGATCGCGGGAGGCAGGGGCAGAATGGGGCTTCAGTGTTCAGAATAAACCTCAAGAGAGGGGCTGGGGCAGGGGTGACAGGCTGGGGGGCGGGGGCCTGGAGGTTGGCAGAATTAAGTTGGCATCGTGTTGAGAGAACTAGAGGAGACCATATCCTTGAAGCCTTGAAGCAGGCACCCCCTGATAAAGGTATCTGCTCGACTGCTGGCCTGGGGAGGAAGGCCAGTGTCCTTGAGGTTTGTCTAGACAGTCCTTGGTTGCTAGGGTGGGGGAGCTGGTGTGTGTGTGTGGGGGGGGTGGATCCCTGTCATGCATCCCTGCACATCTGACGCATAATCATCACCATAAAGATGGCCTCTTGCCCAGCCTACCTGATCTACCTATCTGTTAAACCCACTTCTAGCCCTCCTCCCTTGCTTGGGATGCCAAGCACTGCTTCCTGGCAGAGTAAGAGGGTTGGCAGCTGCTTCTTATGGGGGAATTTCCTTTCTTTCCTAACTCCCCCTGCACATTGATTGGGTGGGACTCGGGAATGGAATGGTGGAGACCTTCATGACCTTGCCAGGGGGTAGTAGGGCAGATGCCGAGGGTGCTTAGCACAAGGGACCAACAGGCCTGGCCCACTGGTCCATCCTTCCAGAGACATCTCTGCACCCTCCCTCTGAGGTCCTGGCAGCCCCCAGAGGAATGGAAGAACCCTTGTGAGCCAAACCATGGATCCATCAGTCTGGCCAACTCATTCTTTTCCCACCTTCCAGAGCATTTCCAGACCCCTCCCAGAGAGCCCTAGCTTCTGCCTCACCGAAGTCAGGTTCCGTATGTGTTTGCAGCCTCTCAGATAGTGATCCACTTTCTCAAAGCCATGACATAGCCACTAAACACATCTGCTCTGCTTGTGCAGTGCTGCTTCTGTGTCAGGTGCCCTCTCCTGGTCAGCCTCCCTGGGATTGTAGGGTGGATCACCATGCCCTGGGCAGCAGTGGTCTGTCTGCACAGTGCCCTACTTTCAGCCTCCTCTCTTCCACACGGAACATGGTTTTCTTCCCATTTCCTCTTCTCCCTTCTGCCCAAGAGCTTTGGTTCCAGATAGGTTAAGGGGTTTCTCTCTTGCACTGTGTAGCTCGAACTGCATGCTGACCAGCAGGCCTGGAAGCCTCCCAGGTCCCCCAAACAACTCTAGGAAGTCCCCTGACCAAGAACGGGGACCCTGCATTTTCCGAGGCTCCGGGTGTTTGAACGGCCATTAAATGACCTCTGGTCACTGCCACACCACACCCCCATTGAGGCTCACCCTGCTAGGGCATCCTCAGCTGGCTCTGGGGCCCTGTCTTGTTCCCCAACAGCTGCCAGTGGGACTACCCTTTTCTCCCAGGTGAACCACAGTCTGGCTGGACAATCTGTTTTTCAAGGATTTCTCTGCAGACAGCTCCTGCATCCTCCTTTTCCAGTCCAGCCTGCCTTGCTGGTGCTGCCTTCAGTGACACCTCATTGCTCAGCCTCTTTTAATCTTAGCACAGAGGCAGAGGCTGCTCTCCTTCCTCCTAGCTTGTGGCCCAAATTAGCATGCACCTCCATACTCCCCTGCACACTGCTGAATTCCAATTTCCTGTTTGCGTATAGTTGTCCAGCATCTCTTGGCACTTGACATTTTAAGGCCAGCCACAGCTGACTCCTAACTCAGGCAGGGCCTTGGAGGCTTCCTGCCCATCTCCTGAGCAGTTCTGTCACAGGGAAGCCTGCCAGCATCGAGGTGTCTCCACTGCATGGTCTTGGCCCAAATCAAAACCCTCCTGTCCATTTGCTGGCACTGCCCTCCCGAAAACACTACCCCTTAGCCCTTGAACGGTTGTGGTGGTGCCAGGTAGAAGCCCAGTGCCCTGTGGGCCCTGCCTCTGTGGGAGGCAGATGGAGAGGAGTGGGAAGCATTCCTACCACCCAGGGCCTGCTGAAGACACCGAGAGGCCCTCAGCACTGGCAAGAGCACTTGTTACACAGATCCTACAGGCAGTGCAACGTAAACTAAGAACAGCCCTGAGCTACCAATCGCCAGACTCACCTGTCTTCTGCAACTATCAGACAGCCCTTTCTGAGTGTCCCACAGCAAACACTGGACAAGATCATCCATACTGGGCCTGTCACATTCTATGGGGAGGTGCCCTGCCTTGAAGATGCTGCCCCAGTCTGGGCCATCTCTTCTAGAAGTCCACAAATGATGCCACAGACTGCTTTCCAGCTTCACAGAGGGCCTTGGCTCTGCTTCTTACTTATCTCATCAGCACCTTTCCATTTGGTGCCTGACAGTACTAGCTTCTACACTAACTCCTGCACCTGGCCTCAGCCTGCCTCCTCCCCTGGGGATCCTGTAGTCCGAAAAAGCCGTTCACCCTCTCTCTGTAAGTGTATTCAAGGCTGCAGCCATCCAGCTTCCTGTGGGATCATCCGTCTCAAACTCTGCAACCTCGCTAGAGCCCTATATGTCACTCTCTAAGCAGTTTCCATCCCCAACCCATTCGCTTTTAAGTGCTACCCATGAGCCAGCATAGCCCTCACCAAGTCAATCTCTGTGCCTTGGCACCGTTCGGCTACGAGGTGAGCACAGTGGGCAAGATTTGCTCCTACCTCCCTTCTAGAGGATACTAACGGGTCCAAAATGCAGAAAGGTGCTGCACCAGAGCCCAGCAGAGCTCTGCAGAAGGTGCCTCACCCGCTGCCTGTTACAGTTGCTGCATGTGTCTGCTCACAGTCTGTTACATTCTTCCTTACTTCACTCGTGGCCTCCTTTTCACCTGGAAGGTTAATTTTCCCTGACTGTCTCTGTTTTTCGTGGGTAGCTTAGGATGTCCTTGCCCATGCTCTGATCACTAAAAGAGCCTCCTTTTCAGTTTCCCAGTTCTTTCATACCTTCCTATGTCAAGTTTTGTCTCGGAGATACGGTAGGAATTACTTCTGAGCAAGACGGACAAGAGTGATGTGATTTGCTTTCTTTGCCCAAATGGATAACCAATGAGCCCAGCACCACTAGTTGAGTACTCCATTCTTGTGCTAGTGTGGGACACAGTGTGGCATCCTCATGCACCCAGGCCCAGTGTCCCTCTGTGCCTTCCTGGCATTGAAGTCCCTCGTAAGGCACACTGCTCCCTCCCAGGAAACTCTAGATGACGTGGGGAGCCTCCGCTCACTGGGTAACACGAGGCAGGTGGTGTGTGTGTTGGCGGGGAGGGTTCTGCTGGTGGGTGTGAGCAGGTCTCTGTCCCATGTACCTTCCCTTCCAGGGACATAATCCGATCCACAGGAAGCTTAGCGGCCCTTACCCTGAAAACATGAGCACCATGGGCAGTGGCACTGCTCTCTTTCCTCTCCTAAATTACTGTATGTGTGTAAGACAGAACCATGTTTATTTTCTATGTGTAATCTTTTCAAACTGTTCTATAAGATAGCTATTGGCACACCTGACATATGGCCATTTATCACTTCTGAATTCTTTTATTTCTAATGGTTTATTTTCCTCATTCTTTGTTTGTATGTGTGCTACATTTGATTACTTATGAAATTTATATTTTGTGTTTCTTTTGATATTTTCCTTAAAGATATATATGTAAATATAAAAATGTTATTGTTATATTCTTTCTTTCTTCATTACAGTTTTTGTCAACCCCATATTATAAGAAAAAATTTGCTTATTTCCTATAAATACATTATTCTCTTTAGTGTTAGTCTCTCTGTTAGCCTACTCTGTATGTGTTTGTACACCTTACTTTTTGTACGTATAGTATGAAATAAATTTTGTACCTTCATTTTTTCTAAATGTATAGTTATTTATCCTAATGTTACTTGTTGCAGATCCACCTTTTGAGTTTTTATTAAAATTCCATTAAGTTAATAGATTAAATTGACTTGACTTTGCATCTTAAAAATCTTCCCATAGTGAGCTGTGCATTGTGATGCATGCCTGTAATCCCAGCCCTCAGGAGGCTGAGGCAGGAGAATCATTAAGAGTTCCAGGCCATCCTTTGGCTCCATAGTGAGCTGAAGACCAGCCTGAACTACAAAGTGAGACTCTTCCTTTAAAAAAATCTCCCCTTTACCACACTTATTCATACCCTTTTTTGTCATTTGTGACACTTTATTTCATAAAGACTTTTCACCTTTCTTTTAAAGTTTATTAAGCACAATCCTATCTTCAATATCTGAAATTCTGTCCTAACATTCACTTATTCTGCTGTGGAACATTTCAATGGAATTTTTAATCTCTTGGATATCTGCTTGGATGTGTTTCATGTTTTCCATTTCTTTCCTATGCTGGGCATTCATGGTTTCCATCATTTTCCTCAGCTTCTCTGTTTTTTGTTTGGTTGGTTTTTTTAATCTGTGTCTGCTCTAGAGTTACTAATCTTGCCTTTTTTTTTTGGTTCCGGGGATTGAACTCTGGGCCTTGCGCTTTCAAGGCAGGCAGCAGAACCACTAATCCTGTCTTTCATTATGGTCAGCATTTCTGTTGTTATTTGAGAAATTATTTCTGATTTGAGTTTTTCCAGAGCCTCTTCCATCTGTTTTGTTACTTCCCTTGTTACCAGTTCAGGGAGTCCAGGTGGTTGACTTTTGGATTTTTTTACCTCATTGCCCCCTGGATTTGCCTTTGGTGAGCTGGAAGTCTGGGTTTGCATCTTGTTTAGATGTCTCCTCATTTCAATTTTTGTTGTTGATATTTTTGGTTTAATTCTTGGGTTGATGCTTGTATATTGCTTATTGTGAGTATCTTTATTGCTAGTATTTAGAACCCTTGAGGAATAGCTACTTCTCAGATTGTCTTCCAGGTATAGATGGCCTTTGGGTTTTGAGTCTGTAATGACTTTTAGGCAATCTTAGTCTTGATATGCCAGGAGGAACAA